CAAGCATACAAAACTCCAACAAAAGTAATTTCACTTGGCACCATATCTTCTCCCTCCATCTCTTTGAAAAGGTCTAGTGCTTCATTACCAAACCCATTAACAGCCAACCCAACAATCAAAGAAGTCCAAGAAACAACATTCCTTTCTCTTATCTCACCAAAGACTTTTCTTGCTTCTTTAATGCTCCCACACTTCGCATAAAGGTCCAAAAGGGCATTACTAACATGCAAATTCTCATTCAAACCAACCTTCACCACATACACATGAACTCTCATACCCAAGGCCAAAGCACCCAGATTAGCACAAGCAGACAACAAGCTAACCACGATAAATCCATCGGGGTCCATACCATCCTGGCCCATCTCCTCAAACAAAGTCAAAGCCTCATTAGACCTCCCATTAAGAGCAAACCCATTAATAACAGAGTTCCATGCAACACGATCTCTCTCACGCATTAAGTCAAACACGTTATATGCACTGTCCGCAACTCCGCAAGTAGCATACATGTGAACCAGAGAATTCTGAATAAAGACCAACGACACAAACCCATTTCTCATGGAAACACAGTGTATCATTTCACCAACTCTAACATCGACCAACTTTGCTACGGTCTTCAAAAGAAAAGGGTACGTATGCGTGTCAGGCTCAATACAAGACAAGGGCATCTTGCGGTAGAACTCAAGGGCTGGCCTCGGGTTTTCACTCTCGGCATAGCCTCCGATCATTGTGTTCCAATTGAAAACATTCGGGTTTTGGATATGAGAAAAGATGTTCCAAACATTCGAGTCTTGTGAATGATATAGTTGGTTGGTATTTAACCGAACTCAATTTTAGATTAATTAAAATTTAATGTAATTTTCAAACACTGAAAAATTAATGAAAAAAATATTATATACATCAATTTATTTATAAGTACATCAAACTTAATATATGATAATCATACATTTATAATCATAAATGTAATTTTATATTGCAATCAAATTGTACAATATAATTATACAATATCAAATGACATAGTACAAGGCTTTTCCGAAAGAGAAAAATAATAAACGTACATGATAGACCCCAATTAACTTTTGCCTCCCCTCAGGCGAACAATGGTGGAGATCGAGTTACAAATTTTGGGCTTTTTTTTCCAATTTTAAAATAAGATTATCAACTTTTAATTTTTTTTAAACAAAATATAATTTTTTTTTATTTAAAGATCTAGTGACTAGTGGTGATGACAGGAGCCATATATGCACTAAATCCTTAAATAATTAAAAATCACAAAATTTATATTTTTATTTAAAAAAATTAAAAGCTAGTAACTTATTTAAAAATAAAAAACATTTATATATTTAAACATACAAATAAAAAAGTCGGTATCCTATCATGTACCTTTATTCCTACTAAGTCCTAAGTACTACACTACTAAACTATCATTACAGAACTAGAGTTTAACACATAAAGAACACACTTTCATCAAGCTAGGCTAAAATCTATAAACAAACAAGTTTTGAGGGTGTTAGAAGAGGTTAAAAGGTAGATTTTTTTTAAATAATTTTTTTTTATAAATTTAAAAATATATTAAAGAAAACTTTAAAAATTAACTCTTAAAATAACTTTATATTAAGTTTTAAAAAAGTTACATATTCAAATTTTTTTAAAACTTAATAAAAAAACTACTTTAAAAGCTCTTTTTTTAAATTTTTTTTTTTACAAATTTTTAAGTTTATAAGACAAAAATTTATTTAAAATAAACTTACCCTCTAAACTCTCCCAATACCATCTTTATTTGCACCAAACTTGACCGCCAACCTTATTTGTTGCTCCATGTTCAAAGCTTTATTAATTGCCATACTTTTCATTACTCGTTTGTTGGTGCGCCCGTTAACCTATTGTCCCTTGCAACCATTTCACTGCAAAGAGAACAAGGGAAAAATATTTAGTCCAAAGATACATGGAATATAATTGAACATATATTTCATTTGCTTTTTTGATTCATTGTAAATTAATTTTTTGATATTACAAATATTTAAATCTTGATTTTAACCTCAAATTAGTTCAATTAACCTTTTGTTAGCTAGCATATTTACATTTAGGGCCTATTTCGTTAGTTTTTGTTCCAGAAAGTAATTTTTGGGAAGTCGTGTGTTCTTAAGATTTTAGCTTGGTATAGGAAAATTAAAATTCAGCACAAAATCGAGGTGGAGATATAACCCGTTATATGCAAAGAATAATTGGTTAGTATGAAATTTTTTAAATATAATCGATTCCATTGGGCTTTTAATCAATTATGTACCCCAAAAGGAAATCCTTCAAGGTTTTTGAATTGGAAAGTATTTCCGAACTGTATAAATGATTATATCTCTATATAATCCACTATATATTATTTATAATAAAATTTATCTTGAATCATTTTTCAAGATCAAATTGACTAGGGATGG